TGAACAATTAACAAGTTTTTGTTTGATAGCCGATCAATGGACTGAAGCTCGTACCGGTTAGAACATTAAAGTATTTTGTTTATGCATGAAGACAGCTATAATCTGAGTGTTTTTTTTTGTACACGCATTTAGGTGTTACTTACTGTGGCATAGCTTTACGATACGTTGGAGAATATTCTCAATTATTTACGTTCATCATTGGTTGTTTTCCGTACAATGCAGCTAGCCATTCAGCACAACATCTTCGAGAATTTGTTAATAAAATATTAGACGAATATAAACTACAACTGGACTCAACAAAATTTGTTGCTACAGATAATGAGCCAAAAATATTGCCAGCATTTCGGGAACAATGTTCTTGCGTTGGTTGTGCTGATCACTATTTGAATAAACAGTTACAACATGCTTTTCCATCAGATCAAATTCATTTAAATAAAAATGCAATTGAAAAAGTTGATTGTGAATTAGTTCAAAATATTTTTAGTCAAGTTAAAAACTGGTTTCTTCTGTAAGACATTCACATCAACGACAAAAATTTTCTCAAAAATTTCAAACGTATTCTGAAACTCGTTTTGGTGGTGCTATAATTATGCTCGATATTTTTCGAGAGGTTTTTTTTGAATTACCAGAAGTATTAATTAATAGAAAAACTTTGAATGATTATAATTTGATTGAAAAAGAAATACTCGATGATATTTGCAACTATCTTGAACCTTTTCAGGAGATACTTGATGCTGTTAGTGAAGATCAACAACCGCCCGAGAGAAACACGGGGGATCGGATCCTGTCGGACGGACATCAAACCCGTTTACATCCGACGGCCGGATTTTTTCCGACGCAATCCGGCCCAGATTCTCATGCACAGGATTCCGACATAAACTAAATCGGATCCGATCAAGTTTTCGACGGATAACGTCGGTTTCCGGAGCGATCCCATACGGATACGACGTTTTCCGGTGGGAACCCCAGCTAAGATCCGACAATCCACGATTTTAACATACCAATACCGGATCCTGTCGGACCCATCTCGGATCCTACTGAAAACGAGCATCGGATCTTACCCTATCATATCCGCTCCGGAATCCAGCGCAAGGAACACAACATAATACACGTCGGATACGATCCGATTCTCAAAAGAACACGTCGCTTTCTCCAGCAACTCTGCATGGGATTCGTCGTATTTCAGTCATATACATGCTCGGATACACAATCCGCGCAGTGATCGATCCAGCTACCATCACATCGACCATCATTCCACCGACCAACATTTGCATCATGCAATCATTCGAGCATTCACCATAGCCCTCCCGCACAGCAACATCGTTTCTCGGATCGCACACTGGACCACATAACCAATGGTTCATTCCAACTACAACAGTATAAACAAGAACAGTAACCAAGTGTAAACAAAAACTGCCAACATTACAAACAACGAATTTCCCGAAACACAAATACGCAACCATACACACATACAACAAAAAACATCATACCCACCCTTCCATAAAACCATTACCACATTCCAAACTGAAAATACTATCCTTTCATGGACATCCAGCATCCAGCCGAAGTGAGCAGCACGTTCTCCTTCTCGAAAACCTCCCCAACAAACATATATATGCACATCGAACGTCACCAAAATACTAAAAAATACGACTACCTTGTCAATTCAAAGTTAACTTTACCATAAAAATATTTCCCACACTACAAAACTAGAAATTCACTAAAAAACCACATAAAAAGCTCATTGTCAAGAAAATAGTTTTCAAACATATAAAAGCATATCGAGCTGAAACAGAAACATAAAAACTATGATTTTGATACGATCTCAAAGATTATTTTCCGAAGAAGAAATTTCCACAAGCCCTCTATTCGAAAGTGAGCATAAAAAGCTCATTGTCAGGAAAATAGTTTGAAATCATAGAACAGAATATACAGATGAAAAAGAAAGATAAAAAATACGATTACGATACGATCTCAAAGATTATTTTTGGAAGAAGAAATTTCCACAAGTCCTCTATTCGAAAGTGAGCATTAAAAGCTCATTGTCAGGAAAATAGGGTGGAATCATAGAACAGAGTATACAGATGAAACAGAAAGATAAAAAATACGATTTTGATACGACCTCAAAGATTATTTTCGGAAGAAGAAATTTCCACAAGTCCTCTATTCGAAAGTGAGCAAAAGTCCGCATAAAATGCTCATTGTCAAGAAAATAGTTTTCAATCATATAACAGCATATGGAGCTACAATAGAAAGATAAAAAATACGATTTTGATACGATCTCAAAGATTATTTTCGGAAGAAGAAATTTCCACAAGTCCTCTATTCGAAAATGAGCAAAAGTGAGCATAAAATGCTCATTGTCAAGAAAATAGTTTCGAATGATATAAAATAATATAGCGATGAAATAGAAAGATAAAAAATATGATTTTGATACGATCTCAAAGATTATTTTCGGAATACGAAATTTCCACAAGTCCTCTATTCGAAAGTGAGCAAACGTGAGCATAAAATACTCATTCCGTAGGAAATGCTGTAGAAGGATACAAAAGTATATGGAGCATGAACAGAGAGTTAAAAAATATGATTTTGATGCGATGTCAATGATAATTCTCGGATGAAGAAATTTCCACAGGTTCACAATTCGAAGGTGAGTAAAAGTGAGCATAACATGCTTATTTCGTAAATAATGTTATAGAGGGATAGAAAGATATATGGAGCCCTATTAGAGTGATATAGAATATGATTTCCTTACGATCTCGAGGATAATTATGAGATGAAGAAATTTCTACAAGTCCTCAATTTGAAATTGAGTAAAACTGAGTATGAAATTCTCGTTGTTGAAAGAGTACGTTGGAACAATATGGAAATGCTGAGATCGGGAGTAGAAAGATGAAAAAGACGATTTCGATGCGTTCGAAAGGATGTGTCTAAGGAGAGAAAATTTGATAAATGTCGGAGAATGGAAAATGAGGTGGAATGGAGCGTAATGCGGTCATTTTCGGAGTGTTGTTCGAGAATAAGCCGAACCGGTGATGTTTCTTTCGGAATAACGATGAATATGTAGAATTTCGGGTGTGGTTAAGGATATTTCTAAGTGGAAGTTGGGTTGATTTGAATGGGAAGTGGAAAGTAGGAAAAGGGAGTGTATAACCTGATCTCGGACAATGCTTTTTCGATTGACGTGAATGTGCACATTTAGTAGCAGACGATATAAAAGAGTAGGGTTTCATGTGGATCTTGATGCTATTTCTTGATTTAGAAAGTTTGATATTGGGCAAGAATGGATCGTGAGCATTCTATGATCAGTGTTGCTGTGTTTGGATTCGATCAGTGCGGCGAGTTTTATTTGTGTTGGGGTTATCGTTGAGATCATGTATCGATTATATTTTGCTACGTTTTGGTCGAGTAAGATTTTCAGTTAGACGTTGTTTCGTTGAATTATTGTCACAGTGAGAGTAGTGTGATCACGTTTGGTCTTTTGTGGTTTGGAGATAAATTGCGAAAGATGTTAGTTTTTGAATGCTGTTTGGGATTCTGTGGTCATCGTGTTAGGTTGAATTCTCCCTCGGCATTCAGATGCATTTGCAGATGGTATGGATTAATGTTAGGATTAGCCAGCGTGGTTCGCGAATTTGTTGTCTGCTGTCTCGTTTCTGGCTTGGGTAATGTTGGAAAGGTGTCACCGTAGTATAATTTTATAGGTGTTTCGGAAATGTGATGTGAAACTTTGTCGTGAATGAAGCTTTTTTTCTCAGTTGGGCTGGATGATTTGGGTGGAAAATTAAGGATAGAATGTTTGCTCCGGTTCATTTAGGTTTTTGAAGTGGACGGAAAGTGGTTGCGGTCGTGGATGATTTAGTTCTGAGTTGGGTTACCTCCGTTTTGTGATTTTTCCCAGGAAACATGTCGTGGTGTGCTCTTTTGATGAGTGTTTGGAATAGTGATCTTTGAACGGACGTGTTATGCCTTCTNTCTCCTAAATTGGATTACAATTTCTATAAATAGGAATTCATTGTGTCGTATCTTGTTCATTGTGAAGAGAATGCACTGTAACCTGGCTCTTTGTGATGATATTGAAATTATCATTCTAATGTTTTTTCTGACCGTCAGTTTTTGTTGTGGGGTTTTTACAAGATATACTGTGTTATCCGTGAGGAATTATGACATTGTAGTTGGGTTTGTTTTGTGGATTAGCTTATTAATATATTTTCTATCTGCGTGCGATGGATTATTCTCGAGAGAGCGTGTGTATGAATTCTGTTCTCGGTTTCTGTTATAGAAAGTGAC